AAGAGTCACCGAGGGACATCACCCGCTCACCCACCTACCTATCCCAAAGCTTTTTTTTTTTTTTTTTTTTTTCCTTCTTTCCTCTTTTGAACTTCAAGTCTAATCGTCGGCTCGCTTAGGTGGTCCTCCCATCATCTTTAAGACTCGACGATTACATTAGATAGATAAGTAGGTAGGTCAATCAATAAACGGATCCATTCAGAAACTCGCTAAATCCAATTCGCTAATCCATCTACCCATCTCCATCTTCATCCTCGTCCCTTCTTCTTTGCCACTTGCGCAAACTTTTCCTTACTTGTAAATATACGACGAAATCCTACTATCAAACTCCCCTTTCAACCCTAGCCCATCGAAGATACCTATCATCAATGTTATCCGTGTGGGCGAATGATCCCGCGGCGGAAGCACATAGTCCGTCCTTATATATCACATCATACATGTCTTTTTTGGATCAGCTGTCACAGAAAACCAATTCCCTTAACGTTGTTTAGGATATAGAATACGAAGTGTAGAATAAAATCAAAATGAAATGTTGCGTATGCGAAGAACGAACATTCCGCACCACGGGACGGGTATCGAGAGAGCTGACGACGTCGTCGTCGAGGCCGTTGAGAGATAGACGTATCTTTTTTCTTCTTCTTCTTTTTTTTTTTTTTTTTTTTTTTGAAAAAAAAGGAAGAGGGAATATAAGCCTGAATATATACTAAGATACTTTGATCCCACAATATTAAAAAGAATCACTATACTAGTGAGGAAAGACTCCGGCTGAGCTACCGCAAAGACGACAATCTCTCTTTCGCGACACCATCTACCATATCAAGATCGTTCGTTCAGTGCAGGTGGTGCGAGCCATTTTTCCAGATTCTGCTAACCGGAGATCCAAACCTCGGTTCTCAAGAACCAGGCTTCGAAAACGGGTACTTGCTGTCTTTGAGAGCTGCACTTCGTCTGTTCTATTGCTAGATTTCAAGACCGAGGGGTTCATTACAGGGTGCGAAGTATGAGTATGCTCTGTACTTTCCTCGCGTAAACACTTGTGGGAAGGGATGCTCGAAGATGGGAAAATGGAAAGTGAACGGAAAGCTTGTTTTGATATCATATTTACTTTCTTAACTTTTGATGGGGGGGGGGTTTTTTTAGGAAGTTTTGGCTTCTGCAACGAAGTGATTCAGACGAGTTCTGAAATCAAAACCGAGGTTTTAAATTCCGAGTTCGTAGTATCTGGCGGGGACTAAGGTGGATCTTAGAGCGAGAGAAGGAAAGGAGGAGATAGGGATGGGAGTGCGACGGCAGTTACGAAGGAGGAAGAAGTGGCGAGGAGGGATGGGATGAGACGAGGAGGGTGGTAGGGGGGAGGGGAGGGGATATTTTTAGTAAATTGATAGATTGGTGAATAGATAGACTGATTGATAGAAAGTAGAGAAAAGCAAGAGCCAAACGATTTGATTCAATAACAAGAAATAAAGAGAGAGACGGAAAGACAGAAAGAAAGGAAAAGAGTATAAAGAAGTTGATAAGGAAATAAATGACCAGATTGGTCGCTCGCTTGCTACAGAATAGATCAGAAACGATGAAAACAACCGCAGGAGCAAGACAGAGATAATGGAATACATGTATAAGAAGTACAAGAACTTTACTAAAAAGCAACTCTTTTTCTTCTCCTCTTTCTCGATACCTACCTACAGAATCAATCAACAAAACCTCCCTCCATCCTTCCTTTCCTTCCTCCCTCCCCCTCGATCTACGAAAGAGATCTCCGGCGTTTCCGTCCGGATACGTATAACCTACCTACCTGCCTCCCCTCTCTTTTCGCGAGACCTACCTCATCTACAAAGCTACAGAAAGCAAGTAATTAATAGAAGGTGGTGAAACTAGAAGAATATAAATAGCTAAATATACCTACCTACCTACAACATTAGCCGCCTTCTCCTCCCCCCCCCCCCCCCCTCCCACCTTTTCCTTTCGTCAAGTTTTGCTAATATTAGAATTAATATATTAGAATTACTCCGCAGAATTCGAAATATGCTTATACTCACTAAAAGCCTTGACGATTTACGATTGATTACTTTGTGCGGCTAGATGTGCGGTATTTCGAGAGCTGATTATTGTTGCGGTCATGATGCGGGATGACGGATCTGATCTAACTAGTTGACTGACTAGCTGATCTGACCGATTATATCAAAGGCTCTTAACCACGACCCTTTACTGCGTAGTCTGTACGAGAGTGAATCTGGTGGACCTAGAGCTAATTACTCGTGGGATGAAATAAAAAAAGAAGAAGAAGAAGAAGATAATAGGAAATAAGAGATTGCTTACTTGCTCTGTACAAAAAACCGAATAAGATAATACCTGTAAATAAAAAAATAAAAAATAGAATTTTTATAGATATATATAATTAGGGCTTATTTTATTTTTTTATTTTTTTTTTTAAAAAAAACCCCCCCTTTCCCGGAAAAGAACATGGAATACACACATAAGAAGAGAGAATTATATCAAAAAATAACACCCCTACCCTCTTTTCCTTTCCCTCAATACCTACTTATAGAATCCACCGGTAAAACAAAACAAACCCCCCCCCTTCCCCTTCCCCTCCCCGCCTCCCTCCCTCCCTCCTGAAAAGAAATCTCCGACCCTTCCGTCCGGATACGTACCCTACGTACCCTACGTACCTACCTACTCCCCACCCTCCCCATTACGCCATACTTACCTACCTACCTTACCTGCCTTACCTACCCTACCTAGTAGTACCTCCCCCACCCTACCAACAACTAGGTACTGTACCAAGAACACCTAAACTCACAGCCGATGATTAAAATTAGAAAGAAGAAAAAAACCAAAACCAGAAACCTTTAAATAAATAGGTATACCGGTACCTACCGGTACCCTACTTACTGGTACCTGTCTCTCCTCCCCCCATTCCCACCCTCCCTCTCCCCCTCTCCCCTCGCCCCCCTCCCTTCCCCCCTCCCCCTCCCCTTCCCACCCTCCTTCCACTAAAGTACACCCTAACTATTAGAATTAAATACACACACACACACACACACACATTTAGAAACCCCTCCCTAGAATTCTCCATGTGCTTGCTTATATGTACCTATGAGAAGAAAGAGAAGCCTTGGAAAGGATTCACAATGACTTCGTACATTGGAATGTACTGTAACATGTACCGGTAGAAGGGCTTTTCAAGGGTGGAGCATTGCTTGCGGAGTGAGTGAGTGAGTGAATGATCGGACTGAATCGGACTGGTCTATCTGACTGGTTGGTTGGTAGGCTACGGACAAGAACGATTTGATACTGTGCTGGCGTGACTTGTACGAGCTGCTTCTTGTTGAGGCTATTTATCCGTCGGAAAATATGAAAAAAAAAATATAGAAAAAAAAAAAGAAAAAAAAAAAAAAAAAAAAAAAAAAAAACCTACGCTGCAAAGATCATGTCGAGGTACCTTTTCCGTTGTAAAGCGCCGTACATAAAAAAAGGCATAACAACACCACAAATCCAAGAACGACCACCTCGGGCTCTATGTTTCTGTCTGTTTCGTACTCCGGAGACAGTGTTTAGTCGTTACGAAGGGCGAATAGGCAATGGCGTCCTTTGATTCGCTGATCAAAATACTTCTTACTCACTGTACGGAGTACCGGTACCGTAACTGTTGCGTAGAGGTGGGTTGTTAGTTGGTTGGCGGTGCTGGCGGTGGTGGATACCGGTCGAGCTACTACTTAGGTAGGTAGGTAGCCGAGGGCCGAAAGAAAAAGAAAGCAAAGCACCCGACCGGGCTCGTCGGTTTACCTAACTCCGTACGGGGAGGGGACGGGGGGTGGCGTGGGGGACTCGCGGGGATAAGAATGATAAAGGAACTTTTTCGTACTACGTACTACTATGTACAGCTCGTTTAATCCGAAACCCACTAGCGAGGGCACGAGCAGCGGCACGCAGATTGGCTTCGGACTTGGGGCCTTGGACTCGGACTGGGGGGTTTGGTGCACACTGGTGACACGTAGGATATAAATATTACTACGTAATGGTTGACGGTTGAAGACAGCTACGAGTAGTACCGGTAGTCGTAGTGGTATCTACCGTATCGTTCGACGCCCGTTGATGAAGGATAACGGCTGGCTCACGTGAGATGGATCTAGCTGACGAGCATTCTTCTCTTGTCTGGCTGCTGGAGGGAGGAGGGAGCAGACTCCGTAGATGAGCTCAAGTGGCGTGGCTTGCGGGTCGAGAACCTACGGACAGTGAATACCTCCTTTTACTACGTACTACTAGTTGGACTGGGCATCGAATTTCCCGGCGACCTCGGCAGTGGATGAGTATCGAGCACAGGCCAGACGGGAATTTATGAGGTGGGTTCATCGATCTGGATCTCATTGGATCTGTGGAATCAAGGCGTCATGAAATCCAACTCGGTTGTGCATTTGTTCGCTGTGGTATGCGTCGCAGTAAATGTTCAGCCGATGGACCGGATGTCGTGTCGTGGGAGTCGTCGGCCAGTCGGTCTGTTGCATGAGTGCGTACCGAGAGCGACCGTACCGTACGGTACGTCCAAGATGCGGTGCGACTCGTGTCTGTACGGCCGGACGTCTTGCTGACATTGACCTCCTGAATGTTCGTGTACGCACTGTACGGACGGACCACGCGGAGGCCTACGGTACCGATGCGCCTTGAACCTGGACCCCTAGACGGTCCCCTTCCCTATCCCGGGATCCTGGCTTGGGTGGATGTTGCGAACTTGGGCGTTTGAGACTGGGGTGAACTGGCCAGTCGAGTCGAGTTGAGTCGAGTTGGGGTCGAGTTGCGTTGAGTTGCGTTGAGATGGGTTGAGTTGAGCAGGGTTGAGTTGAGTTAAGCCAACTGAAAGACTGCTCTCTCTTCCTCTCTCTCTCTGTCTCTCCCTCTCTCGTGTTGTGCATATCCGCCTTTGCATCTGCATC